TATATATATAGTGTGTAAATAGCGTATTTGTCTACGGGGCTGTATTTGATTGGCATTCAGAAATGTACATTATAATATAATCGGATAATTTTGTGGTATTTGACGATACGAAAATATATTTGCATAATTATTATGTAGTCCTAGTTTGCTTTTTATGACTTTTTGTTAAGTGTTGTGAAACCAACCGCTTCACATGGACACGCCGCTTAAACGAATGCGTGTGTAGGTCAAGTTGTCTTTCATCACTTATAAGTATGTACTCGATTTATTGCAAAACTTTCGCTTTCGGCAATATTTTATTTTACGCGAAACAAACAAGTTAATAAAATGCACTGTACAGTAGTATCTGAATAAAAAGATAAGTATCGTTATCAGTAGCTAATAATTAGATTTCAATTTGGAGCAAAACAATATTACGTTTGTTGAACACTAATAGTGAAGCAATACATCATATCATAAATAGTAAGAAACTTAATCAGAAACTAATAAACCCCTGGAAGAGATTTTAAAAAGGTGGAAAGGAAAGATTAGAAGGTTTCGAAATGTGGTGTTACAGGCGAATGATGAGGATACCGTGGATAGAGAAGGTTAGAAATTGTAAAAAATAGGAGAATAGAGAACTCTACGGAAGTCAATAAAAAAATAGGCCAGATAGGTTGGTAGGACACCTTCTCAGGCGTGAAGGTCTAGTCAGAAAAATATTAGAGGCAGAAACAGGAGTTAGGAGAAGTAGAGGTAAGCCTAGATTAGATTACTGTTCGCAAATAGTTGAGGATGTGGGATGTTCTAGTTTTAGGGAAATGCGAAGATTAGCTCAGAATAGGAAGGAATGGAGGTGCGTGTCCAACCAGTATTAGGACTAATGATACATTAGGTTAATTTGATGAAAATTCAAAGTATATGAATAAATTTATATGACTGTGATGTCCACTGAAAATTGAATTCGTTAATGTGTGTGAAATACACCTTAATTTTCATGCGTTATGTAATTATTAATGTCTCTTCTGAATAATTTTAAAATGTTGTCCCATATATCAAAATAATTACCTGTAGAATTACATTTCAACTTAAAACATTAAAAACATCAATTTCATCTGATTTTTTATTAATGCTTCTTAAAAAAACCAATTGTAAATCAATTCAATATTCAACTTAGATATTCACAAAATTTTTTTTCTAACATTGATTAATAAACCAGTTTAACACCTTATCAGAGGTGTACATCTTTTATTGTTGTAGTTCATTGAAAATTATAAGATGGTTTACATGAATAAGTTTACATAGTGAAATAAACCGTTCGCTTTATGCTCTGAAGACCATCAGTCATTTACCTTTAAAATCTGGCTTCAAGCAGTGACAGTGACTGCGTAGAAATGATCAAGTCTCAAGGACCTTCTTACACGTAAACGGCCTTCTAGATGGTCTGTATATAATGTACAGGTATTGAACAGACAGTAAATCTTGATTAGTTGTAAACACATCATGAACTGATGTAATAGGCCCTTATTTTCTCGGTTACGCAAATAAAAAGAGAAATTCTTTGTAATCATAAAAAAAGCATACTAATTAGTAGTTATAGCAATAACTATGGTCTAAGATATCCATGGCAATACTAGAGATTGCTCCTCTTTAAAATAAATAATTGGTAGGCAGGTTTGTAATCTAGTAATAAAAAATTAGCTGACTATTAAAGTGTCTCATAAAAGGATGTAACTCAAAATTCAAATAATTGTCATTTAATCTGATTTTTTACTTGAAAATCACTTAATTGAAAAACAAACTTTTGAACGGGTTATACAAGTATTTAATGTAACGAATGTGTAATATTGTTTAAATTGTTTTAACAATTAAGCTAACCATTTTTTTGCTTTTAATTTATTTACTTTCACTGGCCTTGGCGGTGACGAACAATGATAATGTACCCTAATTAAAATAACTAATTTCTGCTAAAAAATGCCTAAAAATACTTTAAAATGTAGTACATACTTAATTTGCTATTATACATTACCTTTTGCGCGGTTCTTATTATTGTGCTAGACGTTTGACGTTAATATTTCCACCCGAAGTCATTCAGCATACAACTTCACAAGAATGACCTTTTATTCAACGAGATCGCGAGAAAGTCTGTGGTATTCCCGTTCCTGAAGAAAACTCCTAATGCGAATAAATTGCAATTATACGGAGAAGTTAGATCAGCTATTTTCTCTCTTGCAAAATATAGCGGAATTTGCGAGTAATTTTACAATGCCTGTAATGCAGTTTGCAGTGGACTGAACTGAACTGGTTATAACCCAGGACAGGAGAATATTCAGGGGGCCAAAAATCTGTTCATGTTAATGTATAAAATAACTGTTACAGACATGTGATTTATTTGAAATATCTTTTATTTAAACTGCAAATACAAAACAAAAAATACCTATTTTTATTTTGCATTTAAATACTTTTTGAGAAAAGCATTATGTATTTTATTTAAAATACTTTTCCAAACATATTTTCTATTTGTAAAATGCAAAATACATTTTCGCCGTTTAAAGTTTTGCTAGTATCACACCGATCAAACATTATTTAAAATGATGAATGAAAGTTGCTCACATTGGCCTTTGAAGGTATTAGAAGCTTAAAAAGGGAACAAAGAGACATTCCATGAATGGCTTTAACTCCTTAGAAATTGATAATCTAAAATATTGGATCGATATTGTTTTACAGAAGTGAAACTTCAAACATACCGGGATAGGGGTTAAAGAATTGGTTTAATGATATTATTTGTACACTATGAATTTAAATTTTACACTATACATGCCGGAGTTGCCTGTGACGAACGTTGCATTGAAGCGCGCTCATGGCTCAAGCGATCCCCACTACGAACTCGACTACGTGGCCGAGTAGAGGGGGGACATCCGTTGCATGATTTCGTTACATAGCAACTGACATAAAACGAACTTACCCTACCGTGCGTAATGAAATCACTTCTATGCTCGCAAACGGTTAATTTAGAAATTTGAAAAAGATTGTTAAAGGTGTATGTCTGGGACGCGGCGCTGTACGGGTGCGAAATATGAAGTGGAGGTGCAGTAGAAAAGGAAAGGTTAGAAGCGTTCGAAATGTGGTGTTACAGGCGAATACCTTGAATAGAGGTTAGAATGAATAGGAAAACAGAGCTCACTATGAATATCAATAAGAAATAGGCGAGATAGGTTGGTAGGACACCTTTTCATACACGAAGGGCTAATAATTAGAGACATATAAGAAACAGAAACAGAAGTGGGTCTAGTCGTAGATTAGATAACTGTTGAGAAATAGTTATGAATGTGGGATGTTCTAGTCTTAGGGAAATGGAAAATTAGATTAGATTAGATAGGAAAAAGTGTAGGTACGTATCCAGCCAGTCTTAAGACTAATGACCTTATAATAATGATAGGTAATATTGCAACAGATGTGACATACCAATTTCTTTAGCAGTAGCGTGTAGCTTCTCCTGTGACCTGCTGACCAAAATAATGTTAACCCCTCTCTTTGCCAACTCTTTTGCATAAGCTTTTCCGATACCATCAGTTGATCCAGTTACAACTTAAAAATAACAAAAATTTCTGTGAATTAATTCCTTAATTTTTATGTACACGGTATACGCCACATAGACCTTGTCCTTTCTGACTATGAGATCTTCTACTCAAAAGTATACTTGAACTATTACGGAGATAAAGTTGTTAGGCTATTTAGTATCAAGATCGGTTATTTCATTAAAAATCGTGAAGGTCAAAAACGACGGTGAATGTTTTGTATGGTGAATTGATTCGTTTGAATAAAATAAGTTGTCGTATTTTACTACTCATATGTTATATTTTTTATAACCGTTGTGGAATTAGTATACAGATTTTGAATAAATAAAGTTAAAAGAACTCATTTGTTATATAAAATTTCAATTTTATTCAAGTATTATTGATCAATAAAAATTTTAATTTCAAATTTAAAAAAAAAAAACTTTGATCATTAAACTATTCTTT